AAAACTCTTGCAGAAGAGTGAACTAGTGAATTATACTGTTATGTTAACAACCATTTTTTTCTAGAATGCCTGTGTATACTTCTCACATTCAATTTTGTGAGATGCTTCAGGTTTTCATAAATGCATAGGTCACTTTAGTATGGCTATTCATATATGTGCCTTTGCAGAAGTTTATATGTAAGCTTTGCAGGACGCTAATCTAAATGAATTGGAAGAGCAAACACACGGAACAATGGCATGTATCATTCTGGAATGTGGGTATATGCTGATAACGACAGAGCTTTTGTGAATTGAGTTAATTAGACTTTGTGAGGCCTTGTTGGAAAGCTTGTTTTGAATTGCATGAAATCAAGTTTTATGCCCCAATTATAAAACATGAAGCAGTAAATTTAAACAAATACAAAAAGTGATAAGATAGAACATCAGATGTGAGTAAATTTTGAAGAAATACATATTCCCTGTAGTTAAAAGAATCGATTGAAGAGTCTTGGATATAGTACAGTCCTCATGCTTGGTAAGGAATGACGTAGGGAGGAAGGAATGTACTTGAATTTTGACCAAATATATAACGTATTTAAGAAGTATAGACCTTGCTCTAAAGAGAGACCATCTTTAAATAATCTGAAAGTATCTTAATGGAAAAAGCAGGCAAATAGTGGAACATCATCCAACAAGAAGGCATTAAAGGTGCTTTCAAAAGAAAAACTGAAAAGAAAACTAATTCAGTATATGTTGTAAATAGTACATAAGGCAGCTTTGGTCCATGAGAGGTCACTTTCACTCTAAAATGTTCTTTTTTTGATATGGCAATGTTTTTCAATATGACCTGAAGTTATTTTTCAACTATATCCTTTTAAGTACATTTTACAAAATATGTATGCCTTCAGGATTATGAAAGCTGCATGTAAAGCTCTACAATATGTTGAATGTATGCAGGCAGAGATATAAAACTAAGTTTTACCTCTGCTTACTGATGCATTACATGAAATTTAGGGGGTAGTTTTTCCTGGTATGATATAGTCTTTAATAGATTTGGAACAGTGTATTTGGAGGTGGTTTAGTAAGTTAGTGTCAATGATCAAGAAATCTACTCTTAGCAGGGGGTTGGAGAAAAGATAGTGAGTCAGTAAAATACAGAATATTTTCATTTGGGAAAGATAACTGACCCAAGAGAGGGAACTCCTACATCTGTCAGAAAAGCCTGCAAGCAGTTGCTGCTATGGCCAGCTGACAGATTCTGAATATATATGAAAGCAGGTATGGCTACTGGATGACTACAAGATTTCTTTTAATGTTTTAATGTTTTTCAAAGTCAGTAAGACTTTCTGAAGTAATCTTGTTTCTTGAGGATAGAGATAGAGAGAAATTTTAGTGGCAGAACAGAGCACTCGGATGTTCTTAGCTGTCATGGTATCCCTGGAAATGACCAATTTTCCTGTATCGGCCATTACTGTGGTAGGATCACTGTGGAGTGGGTAGGGATTTTCTCCTTTTTACTCCACCTGTTGGAGGAGTTCTCTCTTGTAAAAGGAAATACACTTTTCTCCCAAGACTGTTCACCCAAGGTGGACACCTTGCAGCTGGTACTTAGCACTTAATCAATATAGGCTGCCAAGAAGGAAGAATGCCAAACTTGTGCCTTTCAGGCACTCTCTTTACAGTTATGATGAACTGCTTTGGAGGAAGAAGTGACAGTGAAGATGCATTATATTGAATGAAATGGTAGAGTCTAATGCACTCTGGGACACTTTGACTGAATCTGTTGTAACTGATTTTTTTTTCTTCCCCTACTCAAACAGGAAAAATGACTTGATAGCAGTTTGTCAATGGGGTGATTAGTACAGAGCAAAATATCAATAACCACTAATATCAGGTGATCATATCAGTGGCCAGTTCCAGAAGTTATAGGAATCTCCAGCTGCTTCAACATCTGATAGTTATTCTATTATATCCAGGTGATAGTAAGACTTTTGTGTTTTTGATAACAGGAGGCTTTCTTCCCTTGCTGGTTAAATCTCAGTACATGTCTTTGACTAGCCATTGTCCACAGCTTTCAGATGTTTACTGTATGCTAGTGCAAAAGCAGTCATCTGAATATTTTCTTTGGACAGGGACAGATCTCTGAGTGTACATACTGTATTTTCTTCTCTTTCACTGGTGCCACCTGTCGTCTTGTAGAAGCAGAATTGTTTTCATGCTGTTCTTTAACTTTTTATGTCTAGAAAAAGGAGAAAGTAAATGGATTGCAAGTCAGATTTACACTTGAATAATAACACTTTGATAACATGCAAAAGGTTTAGAAGTGTCATCACATATTTGGAACAGACTACAAGGGAATTCTCTTTTAGAGAAAATTATTTCCTTGCAAGATTCTGTTTAATGCCAAGAGGCGATCTGATGCAGGATGAAATCTCTCTCTGTGGGTATAGTAGCTGCTCTATGCATATGTACTTACCACTTCTTAAAAAAAAAATGTTATTACATGCATCCGCATCGTTCAGGGATTCTCAAGATTCTTTTCATTGTGTTATACCCATTTGCCATGAAATGATTAAAAGTACAGATGCCTGAAGGTTTTGGTTTTTTTTCCTCTTTCCCTCTGGATCATAGTAACTTTCCTTTTTAATTGAAACAAAACTTGCTTCAGAATGGGGACATTCTGACATGCTTTGATAAACCTAGTATAATATGTTGTACTTGCACTCTTTCAAGAAGTAAATTATGGAGTATTTGCTCCGTTGTTGGTGGGTAAATTATTGTTTGTAAGCATGTGCAGAACAGTTTAAATAAGGAAGAAAAAACCCCAAACTAGACAGCTCAGATGATGTTATATCCCATCAATCCTGGAAATTATAAAAAGAGTTATAATCAATGAATATGATGTGTGTACTAAAAGACTGTCCTAGGCTGGAACATGCTAGCCTCTGTTTCCAAGTATTGCTTAAATGAGGGGAGTCCAAATTACATTTTTCAGTAATAGAATTATTTATTTTAAAAGTTATATCTGCGGATACTTAGTGAAAGTGTTAATGCAGAATTAAATATTGGATCTCCCTTCAACCAGGGAGTTTGTGTGCAGTTTCTTCTCTCTTGCACCATATGGTTTTAGAAGTCATACCTTGACTTTCAGGACTGAAGTATGAAGAGAAAAAAAATCTTAATGAAATTCTGTCAAAGCTGCCAGGTTTCACCTGGTTTCATATCCAAAGCAAGGCAAGGCTTTCAAGAAAAACTCTTAAGTCAGCCCACATTCACTCAACACTGGGCCCAAGTTCACTCGAAAGGGTTGTGAGCCCTCACAAACCTTTTGAAGAATCTGGGCTGAGTTTCAAGTCAGTATTGAAACCTGTAATCAGGCAGGCTTCACGTGCTCTTGAATTTCCTTGAGAACATTTACCCAGCTCTCCCTCAAGTTTTCTGTGGTTTGCTGGGATTTTTTTCACTTTCAGCAAAACAATGATGGAGCTTGAGTCTTCAAGTAATGATTACTAAATCCAATGTTTGCTGCTGCAAACAGCCAGGTAATGCTCACCCTACTCAGCAGACTACATTACTACTAATAAAAAGCATTTGCAGCATCAGACATAGCTCTGATCCTTGTTCTGACTGGGGACAGAATAGGGAAACTCCATTTGTGTATCTTTGCTACAGATTTCACATGTCTATTTTAGTGTTATTGTATGTTTGTAAAGTGCTGTTGATCGAAACATTGTAACTGAAAAATAGTGGTTATCTTTGTACCCTAATAATTCCATTGCCTTTCTCATTTTTGCCAAAATTAAAATTATGATTTCCTTTTTCAAAGGCCGTGTGTCTACAATGTAGAAGAATAATTTTAATTAATTATTATTCTAGATCTATGTAGGGAAAGTGGACTAAAAAATAGCTTAGAGGTTTATTCTTCTTTTTTAGGTTTCTATATGAATTCTGTACTGTTGCCCTTTGTTTTCAGGACAGTTCAGAGCCTCTTCATGTCACAAAACCCACTGACTCTTGGGAATCCTAAAGTTCTCCTTGCAAATTAGCAGGCCAGTAGTCCAGCTGACTGAAAAGGGGAATCAAGTTCCAAACTAAAAAGCTTTTGGCTAAAGTGTGCAGATCTTAAATGGGATTTAAGTTGTGCTACCTGAATGACTCTATAAGTATAAATCTCACCTAAGCATGCATGCGCAGAGCAGTTTGTACTATTGCTTTGCATATTAGTGATGCCTAAGTTAATACGCATGTTCTTGTAGGTTTTGTGTATCAGAATAGCTATCTAAGTGAAAAGGATACAAAACAAAATATGAGAGAACACATGGAAAATAGATAATTTTTTCACCAATGTGTGGCGATGACAGTTTTGTATTTTTAATTTCCTTCACATGATCACCAAATGATAATTTCTTTCATATAAAACCAGTCCTGTTTTCAATATGGGCCTGCTGTGGCTCTAGTACTTCACTAACTGATGTGTGTACAGGGAGACGGTGTGTGCAGGGAGAGGGAAGAGAGCTTTTATTTGTAACTGTCGAGCAACTTCTAGAAAAGCTGTAAGGCTGAATTCTTCCTGCTCTTCACTCAGCTTTTCCTCCTCTTGGTAGACCACTTCCCATGTTTGTTAAGTTTTCAGAATCATTCTTTAAGATCTGTTTTTAAGTCACTTTCCAGACTTGGTTGTTGTTTATATTACTGCAAGTTTGGGTTTTTTAATTTTCAAAACTTGCTTCAAGTTTTTTTTTGTGGTTGTAGTGTTCTGGTTTTTTTATTACTTTTGTTTGTTTGTTTTGTTTGTTGTTTGGGTTTTTTTTAACAGGGATATCAAAATTCATGTAGTTTTGTGTGTTTGGGGTGTGTGTTATTTGGTTTGTTTGTTTGTTTTTCTCTCAGAATTGATGTATATGAGTATATCCTCAGGTGGTTTCTATACGTTTTATACATAACATTTACAACGAAAATTATCCTGAAATAACATCTTTATCTTTCACCTTGTACCTAATTCTTTGATTGTATTTTTACAGCTAAAATAGACCAAGAAAATGAAGAGAAGTCACTGGCAGAAGCACATAAAAGGTAAGAAAGAACAATGCAGTAAAATCTTGCTTTGCTAGAAGCTGCTGTATTGGTAGCCAGCATTATTGTATTTTTGAATAGTGAAAGAAACTCACTCAGAAAACTAAGTGATATTTATTTATTGTCAATTTTAATTTGACAATTAGGAAAAAAAAATTGAAGGACTATAGACACACAGCCTACCTTTAGAGAAATATTGCACATGACTCCTGTCTTTCAGAACATGCATGTACCTTATGTAAAAATAGATTCAGTCTATATCCTTTAGACTGAGAGAAAACTATTCATACTACACCAGAATCACGGTGATTTGACAAACACGTAGCATTCCCCAGGCAACTATTATTTGTAAGGTACCACTTCCTGTGCTTATAAAATGTCTGCTTTAAAATAAAGAATGGAAATCTGTTTTTTAATATACTAATGATATGTATAATTAAATGTGACTTCCTTTGTAGAATTGCTAATAGATCTTCAAATAGGTTTTTGTGGCAAAAAGCAAAATGCCTCATTAAATTTCATTACAAATGTGTGCAGTTGAGAGTTTTCAAAATTGGGAATTTCACTGCATTGCACAACTTGTGGTTTCTTCTGATTTTTTGGCAGTGTTCTCCAAAAGTTCTCCAGAAGCAGTGTTTAAATGGGACAGATTTTTATCTGTCCCAGCAAAAGACCAAAATATGACACACACCATTTATAGTCCAGATTTAGTGAAGCTGACAGTCTGCATTTGTTTTTCTTTCACTAAAAATAGCATCTTCTTTTTGTACTAGCTACCACTGCCACTGAATATATGCTAATGAATACACTCATTATGTATTCCCAGAGCTGGGAAGTCTTTCAATTGGATTCTGGTAAAATATGCCACTGTAAAAGGTTCTAGTTTTTACTATGGTTTGTTAGCCATTCTATGGCCCCGATGCCCACATTTGCTACCTGCTGTAATGCCACAGTGCAGTTGACGTCTTTCCTGGTACAGAACCACATTTTCTCTCTATTCCCTCGGGTCATGTACTAAAGATACGACCTGAAAAGGAAGCCAAGGGGAGAGTGGATCTTCCTCTGCCACAAGAAGCTCCCTTCTTACTTGTAAGGAGATGGTAAGTCCTTGAGTGGTACATCGGTGATGCAGGATCATGATGGAAAAAATGGAACAAAGGGAGCAATGCTTTGGCTTAGTATCGTACCTCTTGCTCAAGTATATGAAAGGCATTCCTGACATTTCTTAGGTTTGTTTAACTGCTGAGTTACATAATTCTTATCCTTAAAAATCTCCTTCACGATAAAACTTTGAGAGAAGAAACTGCTGTTAGGAGAAGAGATTTTTGTGATCTCTGACTTCTCTTTTAAACAAACTGTTTCTCCTGTGGAAAATGGATTAGACTACATTTCCAAAGCTGACACATGTCTAAGGACAAGGGGAATCTGCAGTCTGTTCAGGAATCTTGTGACTTGTCACTGTCTTCACTCTTCCTCCTTACTCTTTTCCCTGACTGCACTGGAACCATCATATCCAAAACTTTCTATTGGTATATCTAGCATCCACAATAAGGGGGAAGAAAGCAAACTGCTCCCTGGATTCTCATTCAGCTTGGTCTGCTCCTTCCGACTTGTCCTAATTCTTTCTTCTCCACCTATGTTGAGTGCAGCAGCTCCTTTTACATAGTAGTTTGTCAAAGAAGAAAATTAATCTTCATTGTTCCTCTTTACTGTGAATATCTAGCAAGGATAACATCACATCAGAATCTTTTGTGGAACACATGAGGAATTATGCTAGGACAACGTTAGGGCAAAGTTATTTTTACTATTATCTAGGCTACATTTCTCTTTCTTTCTTCCTTCTACCTTCCCACTGAAATTCTTTATCAGACTAGTGGCATTTGTTAAAATGCTGAAGACAGCTTCATGTTACAGTTTTAGTATTATGTGTATTTATTTCACTAAGATCTTTAGTTGGGCTTCAAAATAAAATGCTTGGGATCTTTTTTGGTGGGGGGGTGGGTGAAAAAGAAGATGAGAGCTTAAAAAGCTGAATAAAAGATTAGTTACATTTGGCTAATCATAGGTAGAACAGCAGTGCATAGGATGGCTAGACAAGCAAGTAGTGCAAGGAAAAGTGATGGATTAGATGGAGCAAAATTAATGTGATTAATGTGCTTAGATTTTCCTTTTTTGAAGTGGATAACTTCAGCCCTTGTATAAGTTCAGGTCTACCCCATGGTAACATTTCTTTAGCTTTCAGTAAAATCTATAGATTTTCTTTTTTGTTGTTTTGTTAGTTTGGGCACAAAATGTTAAAGCTGGTATCTCCATAAAAAATACGAAAGTCTAAAAGAAAAGCTCTTGCAGCAATAACAACAAAAATGTTTCTAAAATGAATAATGATTTGGGGAAAATGCAGCAATGTGTATTTTAGAAAAGTTCAATTGTGCAATAGATGAGCTGAAATGGAAAGTTAATCTTCCACACAAAATAAAGACAAAGAAAATGGAATGTCGGCTCTAGGGACTCCATACAGCGTATAGCTGTTCATTTGTCACAAGTGAGAAAATGTTTAATCGGTTTTGAAATGATGTATTCTCTCTTTATTTATCGTGTTTAGTGACTTTAAGAGTGTCAGTATGTAAAGTGTTTATCCAAGGAATGGATTTCTGGCACATGGATAAAATGAAAAGTGAAATGTTTAGCTCGCAATAAGCATATGTTCCAAGATCTCTCTGAGTAAGTATCCTGAGATGAGAAGAAAGCACACAGGTCTGTGTTTATCTAGCTTACGCAGGCAGACAAGGAAGGCTCCAGCCTGGTATTAACACTGAAGTGACATGGAATGTCTTCACCAAACCCCAAACAATTACATCATTCCCTTAGCAATATTGATAAAGTGTAATAAAGAAGAACCTGGCACTTTCCAATTAGATCCTCATTGCTAAATACTTGAGAAACTGTGAAATACTTGACAAGTACAGTAAAACCCACTGTTTTGGGGGGAGGGGAAAGAAGTAAAACAGGAGAGGGAGAGGAGGAGGAGAGAAAGAGATGGTTCTTATATTTTAGGAGTCTACAACTTGGCGCCCCCCCCCTTTTTTTTTTTTTTTTTTCTTTCCAGATTACATCTTCTGTTCCAAGATGCATAGCTATATGCTCAATTGTCACAGCTGTATATAATATTTAAACAACTTTAAAATTTAGCATCTTTGAAAATTGGGAGATGCAGCACACTTTCCACCAAGCACAAATATGTTCTCTGTTTTCTGTATTTTCATTTACTTAGCTTTAAATATCTCTAATCTTTCAAGATGTGATTTTCTTTAAGCAGGGAGAAAAAATTAGAAGCACTATTGTTTCCAGGTATGCTTAATACAATTTTAGAATGAGATAGAGTTTGATCACAGTATCCAGAGCAAGCAGGAACCAAGATTGCATCAAAGTAACTGTGAAAAGTAATATGATAGCTGATGTCTTGTTTACCATGCTAGGATAAAAAGCAATAGCAACAGCAGCAATATAATCTTGCTGGCTTATAATCAGAAATGAGCTAGTTGCTCCTCTTCTTGCACTTCATTCCTGAAGAAGCAACAGCTAGACAACCTGACTAGAATTACCAGAAACAGCATTCAGTGAAGCTGAAGGTCCTAATTCTCTGCCTCGCTACCTCTATTCAGCTGAATAGCTATGAAGGAATAGCATGTAGCTTTATTACTTTCTTATAATACCTTACCCAGTATTGAGTTCTGATCTCCTTGGAAGGCTGCCAGATTAGGGTCTTTTTTTAGAAGAAAATAAATCCAAACTGTAACACTGATCTCTCTTCCACTGTAATAGTGAAGATGATCTTTTTCTTTTTCTTCCCCCCTACCTGCAATGATTCAACTCTTCTTGGAATAACACCTCAGGAATCATTCACAAATTGAACTGGAGATGTTTGGTTTAGACCTGAAACACAGTCAGATGATCTTCAATTCTTCCTGCTATCTCTGTCAAACAATGAAGCATGGGTTTCTAAATTCAGTGCAGTAGCACTGAAAATTCCTCAGTTAGTTTATTCATACTGCTGTCATCTAAGAGGCAATGTATGCTGAGAATCTCTTAAGAACACTACAGGTCCTTTTATTTCTAATATTTCAGATAGTATAACCCTGCTTGAAGTGCTGACATAGGTCACTAAGACGACAGTCCCATATAATGGTGGCTTGATTTGGGGTGAAACTGTTTTTCCTGCTGTGATGCCTGATGAGGGCTGGATAGATAGAAATGCCGCTCACTATCGTGGCTTTGTGTACATCACTGATTTTAACAAACTGAGAATTTAATCTGTTCTTTAGTAAATCTCAATGCATTATGAGAATATATATTTGTTTTATAAAAAGTCAAACAGAGGACTTTCTGCCTTCTGACATAAGTATCAACTGGGGAATTTAGGATGTGTGTGGCTGGATATGGAACACTCATCTTGCCATGTCAGGATATTTTTATTTGGCTTATTTTATAATTTGCTCCCATTACTTGCACATTCCAGTGATTTTTTTTTTTTTTTTTTTTTTTTTTTTTTTTAAGTGCTTCCTGAGTGCAGCCTCCCAGGCACCTCTTCTGTTTTCAGGACTTTTAATAATCCCTTTAACAATGTGTTGTTGCTTTCTTTGCTGTAGCAACAAATGACATTAATTTTGAAAAGAAATGTTTACCTTTAAATTCCCTGCAAAAAAAAGTACTCCTGACACAACAGTCTTCACAGACTTCCATTGGCTTCACTGAACATGAGACCTGGGGAGGAACAAAGCTTTACACCTGCTTATGAGCTGACAAGTTGATGACACTTAGAGAAATAGCAGACAGTATGGTACAATGGCACTGCTGAAAAGCAGCACCTAAAAATGTAGCACCTAAGTCTGGTAATCCTTTAAAACAGTATATGTTCCTCCTGCCTCCCTACCCTTCACACAATGGTTTGGATTGTTTCCAAATGTGAACTGTAAAGTTAAAGTGAAAATTGAGTTAATGAT